AAAGTAAAATTTATTTGAAAAAAAAATAATAATAAATTATTATAAAAAATGGAATGAATTTATGGTTAAACGACAATTTTTTTTAATAATATTTTCTTGTTCTTTTTTTTTTTTCTTCTCCCCCTTTCTTTTGATATTTTTCTATTTTCAAATCGACACTAGAGAATAACGTTTGGTATTCTTGGAATTTAAGGTGGGAGCCAGTATAAATCTAGTGCTTTAGTTGAATATGAGGTCGAGCCGACTCTATTGTCATACGAAAAAAAGAAAGATTAGAACGGTGCAACATTAAATTTCGATTTTTTTTAATACTTTTATTGAAAATAGATATTAAAGGATTACGGGCACGAATGCGTCGATTTGAAATAAAATTCCTGGCAGCTTTCAATGGAAATCGAAAAATGTTTCCGTCTTAACGTTAAAATGTCTTTAAAAAAACAATAAAAAAATAATAATAATAAAGCGAATTTCTTTCCCGTTTTATAGGGATATTGTTATTAATTAAACGTAATCGTCTTTCAAGAAATCCGTGAAGACGAGTCAAGGTCATGCACACGTGAACCAGTTTCGCACTGACCATTGTTACAACAACGTGGGAAGTGCCACGCAATGAAAAAAAAAATGCAAAAACCAGTTTCGTCCAGTACATTTTACTACGTAATTAACATTATGGCAGTTATATATCGAAGACGTTCAATTTATATTGCCTTAAAAGGGACCAACTATAGTAATTTCTCCTTTCTAGAAGCTAAAACTTAGGGAGGTGCGGTATCGCCGTAAGACGAAATTAAACTGTCAAAAAAATTTTACAACTAAGTGTTATTTTGTGTGCAATTTTTTTTCTTTTTTTACTTGAAATGTGGGATGTAGAAGGAAATGTATCCACCCTACGCTGGAATGTCGATCCCTCGGGCAACGTCTGACCGCACGTGAGGTCATGACTTAGTGACGTAGTGGACCCACGGCGTCTCTATTCCGAGAGTCTCCAACCCACAAGACATGAAAGTGCTATTAAGAACTGCTGGAATAGTGTTGTTTTCCGAACCTACAAAACTATTGATTGATGGATCTTCTCGATGTCACGCTAAATGCTTTCAAATTGATAGTGGAAAGCAGTTAGGTAATCTTTACGTTGTGATCTCTCTACTCTTGGGATCAGCTAACACGAAAGTAATAGTTGCATTCTTTTGTCGTCGTCGTCGTCTTCATTGTCACTCCTTTAATTATAAAATTATCACTTAAAGAAAATGCCGATAAAACTTAATTAAGACCATAACATTTGCATGTGTTAAAATTATATAATTTTCAAAATAACATCTGCTCTAGTACTTGTAAACTACTTATAAACCTTTTTAAATAACATCGCCTACATTAAATTTATTAATCTAAAATTAGATTTTCTTTATTCCTTGTTGGCACGAATATAAAAGCATTTAAATGCCAAGAGATTGATTTTAAATAGGAAACTGTGAATCTTGTATCTTCACTATCTTATATATATATATTTTTTCTTGTTTTCTTTTTAGTTTTGCGCCTTAATTAGGTGGACCATCCTCGTTTAAGATCTAATTAGTTCTTTATTCATGACGTCGACTATATTTTCTAACATGAATTTCACGCCTAGGGTAGATGTTCTCATTAGCAGAAGTTTTTCATCCATCTCTTTGTTGTTGCATCAATTGTGCAAAGAATTTTTTCTGTAACGAACAGGTTTTTATCAATGTATATTGTTTACATAGTTTAATTTAAATTCTCTTTTCTTATAACGATTGTCTTTCCCTTTTAATTTTTATATTTGTTATATAATTCTTGGAAATTTATAATTAGATAGACCTACAGTACTTTGAAGGTTATTATTTCATAGATCTTTATCATAGAATTTGTTAAATATTATCTATAAAATTCGTTATAGAAACTTCTAATCTAAATGAGATGTTACATTAATATGACACTTAGAAGCTTGCAGTATTTTATTATTTTGTTCTGTAATTTAAGGAATGTGTTAAGTTACATAATGGTATGAATTACCAGATAATGGGGGGTGGTTATAGACAAATACAATTACGTTTTCGTTAAATTATATTGTTAATTAACTTATTCGACTTTAGTTAATATATTTATTTATTTATTATTATATTTATTTTTAAGTTATGAGTTTCGTGGATTTTCCTTTGTTATATAAATATTTAACTGGATTTTCCTGCTTGAACTAGTCATTTTATGATTTCTGAACTGTTTAAAAAATTTAAATTGATAATATTTTATTTACGTATTTTAATTTTATCAAATATAATTAATTATATATATATGCAAATTTATTTTACGAAGATTAGTTCATTACGAATTACTAAACAAGTTAATTGCTATTATACAAGAATCTGTTTAATGAAAAGTAATTAATGTTTGTGACATCTGTGTTAATGTTCAGGTGATCATCATTATTAAATTTATTCTTTTCATAATAGTTTTAAACATTTTCTGAAGTTTGTTTAAGACGAATCTTAATTTAAAATCAAGACAATTGTGTTTTGAGTATCGATTGCTTCTCAATTCTTTCGATATTTAAACAAAGTTTTACGTGTTTAATTTTTAAAATTTGAGACTATTTAATTAATCAATTCTGCATTAAAATTGTCTAAAAATTAAAACGATTGTCAAATTCCAAGTTAATTTTGTTTTTTGTTCATATAAGCTTAACGTTTATCCTGTTCATTCCTGTCACATTGGATGGGATCAATGCAGACATTGTATAGTAGAATTGGAAGAATAGGAAAATTCTATACCGACCAGATAACGATGACGTATGAGCTCCGGAGAGGGTTCTTTCTTCTGACGTCACATATCATGCACGCGATGCCCAAATTACCGCTCTTGATGTTGATATATGCGTTTCTGAGGAACTGTCACATCGACCTACAATTATGACAGTAAATAGCGAACATGCATCAATTCTTATGACATTAAGAGCATTTTTACGCCCCAATGTCTTTTTTTCTTTCTTGTTTTTTTTTTACATTTAGTCATATTTATCATTTAAGGAGATAACCCGCTCCATTTTCGATTAGTAGATGGAGAAGGAAGAAAATTTGGCTTCAATTTTAATTCAGTTATTCTTTAAAAACTTAAAAAAAAATTACTTATTTTCTCCATCACAAAACATTTCTAATGAACGTATACATTTTTTATGCCCTTATTAACGAGGATTCTGAAAGCTTTGAAATGATTCAAAGTACTGTACAACAACATTGCTTTTACTTGTACAAATTTTCCTGTTTGTAGTTAAAGAAAATATAACTTTCTTTTTTAAAATGTGTTGTTTATTACTTAAAATGTGTAATTTAATCTTAAATCTTGTGTATCTTTTTTGAATGAAACTATTTTTAAAAATAAATGCTCTTATATTACAGGTTTTGTTCGTCGGGTTGTCTGTGCAAACAAAGAAAACTAGTTAATGAAGGGGGGATAAATTTAGCAAATTTACCTTGTAAAATTAATTTTATCTACTAACAAATTAAATTTTGAACTTGCATAAAGTGATGTTTTTTTTTCTTTCTTTTTTTAAACTTAATTCTGAATTTCTCTCTTAACTTTTTACGTTCGTGGTTTAATTGACACAATATTTTTAACCTCTACTTTAAGAATAATAATAATAATAAAATAATAATTAGTTTATTAAGAATTTATTATTTATTTTTAAACTTATAATTCTGTGAATTTATCGAGTAAAGGAAATATTTGTATCATACTTGCAAGAGTATTAATAATTAAATTACAAAGTGGTAAAGTAGATTTTTATATGATAAAATTATAATTCCCCGAGAGTATTATTAACTTATTACTATTTAGCAAAACCATTATACACTTGTTTATCTACATTCATTTATCTACGTTGTTTCTTCTACAGTCTCTTAACAATGATGTGGACCTTGAAGAGATTTTCCAAACAGGTTCCTTTCTATTGTAAATGAGGAAAATTTTACATTTTATCTCTCTCAATGTGTAGTTACTCAATTTATAAATTGTATTTTGTATAAAAAAAGAACTTAATTTTGCGGTACGATAATCGAAAAAGTTAACGCTTTAACAGTAGGAATCTGAATACCGCATATAACTAAAGTTTGTATTCTACAAGCATCTGAAGTAGTTTCACAAACTTTTAAAACTTGAAACCTTTACAGAATAGTAATAACATGAGAATACCTAGAAGAAAAAAAAAATATATATATATATATATATTCAATGCACTCGAGGCTCTTGACCTCTAAGTTGAATTAAGCCACTAAATAGCGTGACTCGTTATCCAGTTAATACCAGGAGTTACAATTAAAACACGTCCGTCAAAATGATTTATAGGTCACAACTATTAAATTTCTAGTGGGATAAGCTAGGGGGTGACTAAAATGTTTTTGTCGCTACGGAATTAAATTGCTACATCACGTGATCCGGTTTTAATAACATTGCTGCAGGAAATTAGAAATGGTTGGCAAGAAAGGAATTTACTCATTCGCTCATCTTCATCCTCTCTAAAAATATTTTCATTTATTATAACTACTTTTATTTAATTAAAAAATATATTTTATCCGCTCTTAATTGATGTTTACACATTTACAATTAAGTTTGACAATGGCGGAAACTTGTAAAGAGAACTTTTTATTTTTTTCTCTACATTTAATCAGTTTCTGAAGTGAATAAAAAAACAAAAAATGTTAGAAATTTTAATGAGCTATTACAATTTTTAACATAGTTCTTTACAGTGTTTTAATGTTAACATTAATGAGATTTATTCGTGTATTTATGGTCATAGGTATGGAGTTACTCGTCTCTTTGATCATAAATATGATGATAAAATCAAATTGCACGAAAATAAAAATAAAATAAAATTCAATAAAGGTAACACACAAAACACGTTATTAAAATGTAACACGATTAGATAATAGAATATTTAAAATATTTTTAAAAAAATAATTTTTTTATTCATTTATTATTATTATTATTATCAGGCAGCTTACGTCAGTGTTCAGCCTGTTGTTGTGTTTAACGATCGAGCTTACATCCAAGGGGAAACAACACATCAAGGGGACAGTTATTCTCGCCATGCTTTCAATGTTGATATCAGCAATAATTTGTTGCCCGACAGGTCGTTGCCTGACAGTAGACACGCATTGTAAGTATTCTACTATTCTATAATGATGGTAATGATGATGTTATCACCGTGTATATGCGACTTAATTATCAAAGAGAAACTAACTAACTGAGATCAGATAATGTTAATAGGAAATATACAGTAATATAATTCGTATAATAAATGTCCCGAATAGAGAGAGAGAACTGGAAAGTATCTATTATTAATGTCATTTACACTTACTTCTAGTTAGGTTAGAACTTTAGATATAAAAATTATCATATTTCGATTTTGACAGTTTCGAAATTAATGAATTAAACCGGAGATACAAAGCTTCCTATTGAGTTAGCAAATGTTTAAGATAATTAATATATAACTTGATAAATGATATATATATACATTTAGAATGAAACTCGGTAAACTAAACACGTACGCAATTAATTAACTGACTTATATATAAATATATTTAATACAACTTTACTAGTTTGATAATAGAAATGATTACCTAGTAAAATGCGTGACGTGTAACTTGAATGATTTTTCTATATATTTTTAAATCGCATAAAAGAATTTCGTGATCCTCATGTAGTGTTCGCATGTACTCATTGTTGATTCCAGAAGGATAACCAAGATAAGAGATTTCATCTCATGTAATTCTATTCGCTTTAATTTCGTACAAAATGAACAGTAAATTTCGTCCATAATTTTATTTAGAATTAATTATAATAATTGCGTAAAGCTGTATATATATAGGCTATATTTTTCTTTTTTTATATACATGATTAACACACGCGAACTCGAAAAACAAAAAAAAAACCTGTTTAGATAAGTAGTAAAATGCCATTAATTTTACTAGAAACAATAGGAAAATATAAGTTTAAACTCGATAAGTTCTTATTAAATTGAAGGACTGTTATAGTCTCTTTTTTTATGGATTAATTTGAAATATAAAAAGTGAGAAGAAGGGAAAATGTGATTCTATCAGCCAAATGAAAAAGCATATCTTACGAGTTATCGTTCCACCTGCATCGAAGAAGGAGAGAGAGAGAGAGAGCAAAGGCGGTCAATAAGTCATAAAACAGACACACCCAAGCCCCATTTTTATGAGTGTTGGAATCAGAAGTAACATCGTTATTTTATCTCACGGCGGAAATCGTAAATCATCCGATCACGTGATCGAACATAATAGGAAAAGAAAAATGATGCTAACATATTTTAATGAAAAATGATGACTTTTTCGGGATAAGTTAAAGAAATGATAAATATTTAAATTTTCAATACGTTATCCGAAATTAAAGTATTGACTTTTTTTTTTTTTTAAATAAAACTAATTAAACGGCTCACGAATAAGATGATTAATGTTACGTATGTTATTGTAAGGAATCTTACGAATAAGATAACTTAATTAATATCTTATCCTTTGGAGGATTGTTTAAATTGTTATATAAGTTACTTTACATAATTCAGTTAATTGTAATGGTAACAATTAACAAATAAATTATACAGTATTATAATTATTCTACAAAATGTACATCTGTGTTTTTAATTATTTTTTTTTAATAGAAAAAAGTTTTATTTAAAAAAAAAAGACTAACTAACTAAATAATTTCTTAGAAATACATACATCTCGCCTTGAAATTTTAATATTTTAGCCTTGAAATACAAGACTTTTATATATATTATTACAGAAATGTTTTCTGTGTCTGAAAATTTATTTTGATAATGAATCACTTGTATAATTTTTCCATTTCAATATTGTTTCGTTTAATTATAATTAAAAGCCATTACTTAATTAAGATGGGGGCGGAAAAAAAAGGCAATTGAATAGCTTTAAAGTTTCTAAACGAAATAGAAATAAAAGAAAGAATCTCATAAGATATTTTTGCATATTTTCCAAACAGAATTTGTGTTAAAATTTGAATTTATATTTAATTTATCAAACATTTTGCTCATTAAGAAAATGGTAAAACTTTTCTTCTTATCTGTTTAAAATTAAATTGGAATGATAAATTTCCACGAAAGAAAAATATGTAGGCTCTTTTCGTTCTGTTTACTAGAATTATGCAAATAAAATTTGTGTTTAGTTGTTGCAGAAACCGCTTTCCATTTTTTTTCTTTCTTTCTCCTCTAAAATAGTATAATTTAAATTTAATAATGAATTTTTTGTGAGGTAAAGAAAAAAAAATGTCTTATCTCTTTATCCTACAACACAATTATTATAAGTGTTTTATGCATAATAATGCATATAAAATAACACATAACTGTTAATCCATACTTACACTGACAAAATACGTTTCTTATTTAATTAAATAAAATAAATCATTTCGAATTTGATTTTAAAAAAATCTCTTCTAAGATATGCTCAAATGAATTTCTTTGTTTTAGAAAATGATATACAAGAATTTTCGCATTTCTAGATTTAATAAATCAGAAATAAAACATGAAAACTGTATGCGTAAATTAAATATATTTTATTGGGAATAGAAATATTATTATAAAGAATGATTGTTTAACTAGTTTTTATTGACAATCTTGTAAATGTTATCTTAACATTTTTATACAGATGCCAGGAAAAGTTATATGATTGGAGTGGAAGCATTCCTCAAGTTAGTGTCATCATCAGTTTTCATAACGAAGCACGCTCGGCTCTCCTTAGAACAGTCATGAGGTAAAATGTTCTATTTATGTCTTAAAACATATAAATTTAAAAAAAAATTACTCTTGCCAAATACAACAATTGTTATCTTGTTTAGAAAAGAAAAATATTCTTCTATTTCCCTCTTATTTAAGCATAGAGATCTGACGTTTATGTACATAGTTTTTTTTTTTTTTTAAATGAAAACACAATAATTTTTTATTAGAGGCAGTTTTAATTATTATTATTTTTTTTTTTCTTTTTAAAGTTTGCAAGCAAAATTAGATATGTATTAAACTTCAACTTCCTCGATAATTCTACAGATTAAAATATTAACGAAGTTTAAGCCATTATTGTCTGTAGAAAATAAGGAAGTTGGCGGCAATAGAACTCTTGATAACGAGTTTCGCATCTCCTCTTAATGAGCCATTATTCGATCTGGAGCGTCATTCCATTATGACGTCAGCAAACAAAGACAGTAGAGGATGTAGAAAGAACAGCAGCGCCAGAGCATCGCATGATCAGTAAGGGAAAAGAGAGAGACAGTGGGAGAAGAGAGGGAAATCGAGCGAATGGAATGACCAATAAAACAGTTTCCGTATGGAACTTAAGCTCAATCGAAGCCTGAAGGTATCCTTCAGTTGATAACAGAACCGTAAAATCTGGTTGCCACCACACACTAACGTGAACAGTAGATAAACAAACGTTATCTTTCACTCGATTTGCCATTCAACGTCATTTGTATGATAATCCACGAAATATAAAACTCCCATTGTTCATCCTGCTTGACTTCTCTTAGCTTTACTTTTGCCTGACTAATGTTCCGAGTTTATTGTAGTATATAATTTATATTGAATCCAGTTTGATATTAAAATTAGAAATAAACATATTCATCATGAAAATGGTTACTAACCACGTTTACGTATATAAAATTTTACTGTCTGAAAAATTAATTCTTTAAACAGCGTGCTGAATAGAAGTCCTTCTGATATTTTAATCGAGATTATATTAATTGATGACTTCAGCGATAATGGTAAGTAATTATAGTATGGAAAAATGAGCCGACTAATTGATGAGAATTAAACAATTATACTTGATATTTCAGCTCAAGATGGAGAACAATTAACGATTCTTCCTAAAGTTTGGCTCTCCAGAAATGATAAAAGAGAAGGTATTATTTTATTTAAGCCAGCTTATTATCATTCTAAAAATATAATTATCGAAAGAATTTTCTGATGGGCCATTTCTCTTCGTTATAAAAATGTGTTTAAGACAGATAACATAGCCACAATTTTTAATAGAAAGTAAAATTTATCGACGAAATACGAGTAATCCAAATTACAAATAAGAATTTTTGATTAAACAAGAGATTTATGAGTATTATAAGTAGTTATTTCGAGTATCATTATGCTAATAAATTGTAAGTTGTTTGACATCTACTTTAATCACTTTTAAAAGGGGGGGAACCATTCTGGTTAGGAAATTGAAACGATAAATATTTCATATAAGAAAGTTAATAAGGATAATTCATTTATAAGTTTTTCGTAAATTATGCTCTGGATGGTTATTTTTATTACTTGTTTATACTATTATTTTTCTAAATAGGGCTCATTAGATCGAGAGGAAAGGGTGCCTCGATAGCTCGAGGAGATTATCTGATGTTTCTTGACAGTCATTGCGAAGTTAATGTCGGATGGATGGAACCTCTGCTGGACAGAGTAACAAAGGTGAAGTTTCTATTAACAATGGTAGCAATAACACTTCAAAATGTTATGATTTCGCTTACTATAATAATTATTAAATGCTCCTTAAATAAATATACTAAATAAAAATCAATTATGCAATTTTGATTTATGTAAATTACGCTGATATATATATTTTTTTTAATTAAAAAAAAACAAGAATAGAGAGCTTCACTCTTTCAAGATACACATATCCGGGATAAAGCAGATGTAGATATATAAAAAAAGAACGATCGCTATACAACTAACAGATGTACAAAACAAAATTTCCTATCAACCCACATAAAAATTGTAAGGAAATCCTCTTAAGAATTTATAAAATCAAGTGTAAAAATAGAAAAAAAATTTTTTTAAATTAACAACATTTTAATACAAATGTAACAGCATAATTATTATAATTATTTAAAATAAAAGAGAAGAAAAAAATCTGCGTAGAGTGCCAAGTTTTTAATAATAATTAAATGTAATTTTAATGTTGACACCTCAACTCCAACTAGTCTTTCAAGAAATCTTTTGCTGAATAATGAGGAAGGGATTAAAGTTCAAGCAACTGGTGGAACAAAAATAAAAATAATAAAAAAGAGGCGAGAGTTAAACGATGTTAAGCGAAAATAAGTGTGTACTTCACAGAAAATGATACTTTGATTAATAGAAAAAGAATGTCTTTCTTGCTTTATCTCACTTTTATTTATCAATAAACCATTCTAAATTGTTGAAATAAAATACATTTTATTTTTTTAAATTTCTGGACATTTTCCAATTAGTAATTATGTATCATTATTAAATTATCTTATTGTTTACAAGAATTAAATACAGTACAATTCATTTTCAAAGCGATTTACATTAATACGTCGACGACTTTTTTTTTAATTTAATTTTTTTATTTAATAATAATAAATGAACCTTTAATGAATTTTATTATTTAATTCCGTATGTGTATGTCCTTCTTCATTAACCATTTTAAACAAGTTTAATGAAATTTCTAACGTTTGTATTAAAGAAAAATTATTCATTTTTTAAAATTAGGAACTAAATTTATAAGCTTATTACTTTAAAATAAATGTGTTTTTCTTCACCAAAGATATTAGAAAGTGCAAAGAGGATTACAATTGTAAACGAAAAAAAAAAGTATAGTCTCTAAGGAGATGCTTTTTTTTATTTCTAAAAAGGGTTATACTGAAGATAACCTCCTTCCATTAAGCCATTTACACTTTAAGTGATGGAAAGTGTCCTATAATTAACCCCAACAATTCGCATTCCTCAAACTTATTTAACTTATATATATATTTTTTTTTATAGACTATATATAATTTAAAATAAAATATAATTTTTATTGTTATTAAATTTTAATTTCTTTTACTAAAATAATCGAAATTAAATTGAAATTTTTTAAACAATATTATCGTATTACAATATTTTATGTTTAATTAAAGTCAATTTATTATTTTGTTTTTTAATTTTTACAAACTTTTATAATGAAAATTGCAGACGATTTAATAAAGCTTATACGTCTAGTTTTAATGGTTACTATTGTAGAAAATTAATTAAATAAATGTACATTTTAGCTTAAGATATTTACGTAAGAGTAAATGATTTAAATATTTTTGATACGTCATTTAATTTATAGTAGTTATGTCCTTGGATCCTTTTATGTAATCAAGTGTTAAATTACCTATAGATCATTTTTTTTAGAAATGATTATTAAGTTAAATGTCACTCCAATTATTTTATTATATAATTTAAATAAAACGTTATAGTCCAATCATAATATACCTATTAAGAAAAATAAATTAATATGAGTTAATTCTTGAAATTTTTAACAGTAAATTATCAAAATATTTTAATAATGATTTTATCCATATTTTTCAAATGTATTAATATCAATTAATTTATTTTTATACGGTATATAAACAATAGAAATTTAATATAAATTGCAGAATCCTAAATTATTAGCTAGTCCAGTTATCGATATTATTGATATCGAGACGTTTCATTACAAGTCTTCCTCTCCTGATCTGAAAGGAGGTAAGTTAAGCTGATTACTTATCGTTTATTCTCCTATAAAACCATACTTTAAATTGCTTTATACTGAAATATTATATTTATAAAAAAGAGTATTAATAGGGGAGAAGATAAATGCTATTTTCTATCATTAATCTTAATAGATTAATGATAGAAAATAGCATTTAGTTTCTTCATATAATATAATTTAGATACGTTGTAATTTGATTTTTCTTATTTGTAATATTATATATATATTTTTTTCTATGTAAGGTTTCGATTGGGGTCTTAGATTTATATGGCTTCCATTGACTGCCGAAGAAAAATCCAAGAGGCAGCATCCGACTGAACCTATCAAGTAAGAAAAACCAGGTGATAGAACAACTCCAGTCACCTGATCCCCTTTCTCTCTAGTTTCTTTCTTTTTTTTTCTTTTTTTATTTAACTTGATACAAGAGAGCATTTCCTCTTCTTCTTACCATCGATTTTCTTTGCCTGTAAGAAAATTTTATAAGTGATTAAATTTTTTTTTCTAAATATAATTTAAGCACATTTTATTCCATTCTAGAAGCCCGGTAATTCCCGGTGGTTTATTCTTAATCCAAAAGAATTGGTTCGATACTTTAGGAGGTTTCGACGAAGGATTAGAAATTTGGGGAGCAGAAAATTGCGGTAAATAAGATACTTATATAAAGTTTAGTGTAGTATCGAGAGATTTATGTTTAAAGGTAGACTTTTTTTTATTGTAGAAATGTCCATTAAAGCTTGGCTTTGTGGAGGACAGATTGAAACTGTCCCATGCAGCAGGGTAGGACATGTATTTAGGAAACGACATCCTTATACTTTTCCTAACGGCAGTGCCGCTACATATCTAGCAAATTCTGTTCGAGTTGCTGAAGTTTGGATGGATGAATATAAAGATTATTTTTACAGTAATCGACCCGTAGCTAGGAATGTTGCTGTATCAAAGTGAGTTGTATTTATTCGAATTTTTTTTAAAATTTAATATAATTTATTAAAAATTAATTTTCTATATTAGTTTGGAGGAAAGAAAGAAACTCAAAAATAATTTGCAATGCAAAAGCTTTAAATGGTATTTAGAAAATGTGTATCCGGAATTGAAGTAAGTGAAGATTATTCAAAATATTTTAATTTTAAAATTCATTTCATTTAATCATTTTAAATAAATAACTGAATAATTTAATTTGTATAAAATTAATAAAATATTCTATTAAAGATGGAATGATATTACAGGTATTGAAATATATATAAGAGAAGTAACTTTATGCTTTTTCATATTCTAATCTTGAGCCATTTTAAAGGAGGAAATCATAATTTGGATCAAAAATTCATATTTAAAACTACTTCATTAAATATAAAAGGCATTAATATATGTAGAGTTAAAAATGAAAGATCGATAATATTCATCTTACTTATTTGTAAAGGTCTATAATTTAAATGATAAAATAATGCGATAATTTTATTAAAATATAAAATTAATCATCTTTAAAAAAATCTGATATTAAAAATTAGTTTGATTTTACTATAGAATAATTGTCAAGAGAATGTATAGAAGAGAGATATAGCCATTTTTTTTTCAATACCGATTCTGGCAACCAGCCAGTCCTCTTCGCATTAGTTCACCAACTAAAGAATTCATTTAACACTCATTAAACATTTTGTCAATGTACAAAATTTGTTATTCTAGAGATAATCCTTTTTTATTTATTTAATTAAATAGAGTACCTAACGGTGATGCTACAGCTTTCGGTCAATTGCAACAAGGAGACGAGTGCTTAGGAATATCTAGTCCTAATTCCCTTCATGTTTTTCTCACTTCGTGTTTATATTCTAGACCTTCTCAGGTACTTTTCTATCAGATAATTTACAAAGTTTTCACCATAGAAAACGAATTTTAATAAGATTTAAAAATTCTTTAACAGGATTGGACTTTTTCTAAAGAAGGGCAATTGAAAAGCAATGGGAAATGCTTGAGTGTCAAAAAAGAAAATCTTTTAAACTATAGCGTCGTAATGGAATCTTGTAATCATAATATTCAACAGGTATAAATATTTTTAAATCTGTTTAAAAAAAAAAACTTTTAATTTAAAAGTTTTCTGTAAATATTTTATAAATTTAACAATATTTAGATACATTAATCTCTTTCACTAAGTGCAGTAACGGTAATTATTGTTCTGAAATTCAATTGTTCTAACAGTATAATGGTCATACTTATTTACTATGTAAAGCATGAATGTTTATACATTATACTTAGTCAGCAAATTGTAGAAAATTGTTATGAGGAAACATTTTATATATAACGGCCCATATATATTATTAAAATGTAGTACACACATCAAGATTTGCATTATCTCCATAATAGGTGATAAAGATTAATTCTTCATAATTAAGAAATATTTATTACATTAATAAGTAGCTTTTAAAATATTTGGAAAAGTGAACTTTTCTTATCTAAAAAGCGAATCTTATTGAATAGTTTTATTTTCACATATTAATATGTTCATTGATAAATTATTTACATTAACAGTGCTTTGATTGCATTATCTGATGGTGTGTTCGAGAAAATGCCAATAAATCTCTAGTATTACAGACTACCAGATGACTCTAGAGAATAGTGGTAACACGGTAGCAGCAAGGGTTTATAGTTGAGATTATCGAAAGCCATCATTTTTCCAGTTTAATTATTAAAGTCAGTATCAAATTAAAATAAACACCGTGCAAGGAGAAGCAGAGCAGAGCTCATTAAATGAGCAGAAAGGGAAATATAATCTTAAAATTATTAAATTAATGAAGAAGAATTGTTTATCTTAAAGTTAAATGAAATTAAGAAGAGAAGGGAGTATAAATTTCATATAAAAACTTCTTGCAAAATAAATTTTTCAAGACGTTTATATATATATATATACATCTAGAAAC